ACAGCACTTGCTCAGCAGTGTGAGCATATGAAATCCCACTAAGCAAGTTTTGATAGGGTTCAGGGATTGGTTTCACAATGCATTTGATGCTATGTAGCCATAAGCTGCCACCAAATGGGTCCTTCCCACTACAGCCACGTTTGCCTTGCCCCTTTGGCGTTGCGTCCAGGGGTGACTGTGCAGTGAGTTGGATCACCTAGCTGCTGTGGCTGAAAACCAGATCTCCAATACAAATTAATTAACTTTCAGTCTGCTCTGTGGCTGCACAGGTAATCTAGTGCAAAGAGTGGTAGGGAACGTATGGCTGGGATGGGTGGGAGAGCAGGTCCTCTTGGCAGCAGGTTGTGATTAGGGCCGGTAGAAACGCAGCTAAAGCTTCACTCTCAATGGTATGGCAGATGTGTCCCTTCCCTCCTGGGACACCAGCAAGCTCAAGTGATGCTTCAAAGGACTTTGTGCCCTGGAGTCAGGTTAGCAGCAAAACTCAAAATCTGAGCTGATGCTGCAGTGAAACCAAGTCCTAATTCAGCTCTGTCCTTCAGACAAGAGCTGGCATTTTGTCTTAAGGCGGGTGGGGTTTGATTGCTTTTTGGAGTTGCTCAGGAAGCAGTCGTCATACCTAAGATTTCTCTGCAATTTTAAGATTAATTCTGCTTTTTTTTCTGAAACAGATGTCTGCATGTGAATAGCTACTTAGTTCAGAGGGCCAAATTCTGTTATTTTGAAGCAGTAATTTCTTTCATGGGTAGGAAGTGTGGTGTAGACCAAAACAACCTGAGACTGAGGACACTTGAATTTTATTTCTGAATTGAGTTGCCTTGTCCTTAAGCAAATTTCTTGTTCCTCCAAGTTACTCTGGAAAGAGACAGCTATGAGTGCTGAGGTTTACCTAATTATACTTGGGCAGTTAGGAAATCCCCCTATAAAATATTGTAGAGACTTTATAATCTCAGTAACCTTGGTGCCACGGACTTACTCCACCACATAACTAACTATAAACATGTGAGTAATTCTTCTGGGTTTACGCAGACTGCCTGCATGTTTAAAGTTAAACGTGTGCATGAGTCATTGCAGGATCTGGAGCTAAGGTGGTACGGCAGGAAAAGAAAACAAACCCATGCAAAGGAAGTATGTAGTCATAACAGCTGCAGTTTCACTAGATGTACCAAGTTAGTGAAGATATTTAAATGTCATTGAAGATTAACATTTTAAAAGTATGTCGAATTCAGGGTGTTTCCTAGGAGGGACTGTGGCTCTCTGATTGCTGGTGTGCCTGCAGCCCCCTGGACCTCAGCGGGAATCCTGCTTGCTCATAGCAGGCTGCAGGACTGAGGTCTGTGAGCTGATGGCTGCTGAAGTGAAATGCAAGAGGATTTTCTAAATCCCATTAAATCTATCTGTAACTTCATTGAGACTAGGCATACCCTCCTGCCTCTGTTCTGAATTATGCTCAGCTTTGCTTCTGCTTTTCCTCCAGAGAGCCCAGTGTCAGCTCACTCAAAACTGGGTTGACCACAGAATGCGAGTTTTAAGATTTGCAGTCAACTTTTGTCCACCTGTTTTTCCTGGCATCTTCTCCTGATGTTTGTTTGTTTCTTTCAGATGAAGCTACTAAACTTGTACATAAAGAGGGCCCAGACCACCAACAGCAACAGCAGTTCCTCTTCAGATGTTTCAACGCACAGTTAATGGAGATTTGTGGACATATGTGTAGACTTAGAAGCAATCAACGGTGCCTCTCAGAGACCTTTCTGCTACTTTTCACTGGCGCGCTCCATCAGCTCAAGGAGGCCATGCAGATATTTATTGCAATCAGTATTTTAGTCACTTAAAAGCTTTTATGTAGAATCTTACTGGTATTGAATGTAAAGGAACCAAGGTCTGTGTTGCAGTCTTCATTAAAAGTGAACAACAGAAAGCCATACTTAAACATATTTGTATAGCCTGCTGAAATCTTGGAAATATGTTTAGGTTAGCGTTCCAAAACTGAGTCCAGGAACCTGGACACACGTAAAGGTCAAACAAAACTCGTTGGTTTAGTTCATACCCAGTTTTGGTTTCTGTGAGCTAGTTACCTGCTCTCTCCCCATGACTGCAGCCGTTCTGGCTAGATATCCTCTTCTTACAAGTCTTGTGGTCTTGTTTTGTACTCCCTGTTGTAGCTTGCCTGAAGTGCAGGGCTCTCCCTGAGGAGATCTTTGCAGATCTGGCTGCAATTCCAGCCTCAGATGCTTTAATACTGAGAGAGATTAAGTGAGTAACGAAAAGTACGTTCTTTTTAAACATCTGAGTTTTTGTACATAGTTCTTCTAACAGACCTCCAACGGGCTGATTTCTCTGTAACTGCTCTCCAGCCAGCTGTGCAGTGCAAAACAGCTGGGCTCTTGCTCCTTTCATTGACTGTGTAAATATTTCTCCCCCTTTCAACCCATTTGGCTCTTTCATATGCTCAAAAGACTCTCCAGGTTACTTATCACTCCCCAAAGCGAACCTGAGACCCAATTCTGGGACTGATGTCTGCGATGACACACTGGAGTTGGGTGGGCAGATGTTGGATTAGGCTCCGAGTATGTCCATGGGTGGGCAGCAGGAGCTGTCAGGGCTGTATCTCAGTGCTGCCTTGGGAGGCTGGCTGTGTTTTTCTTGAAGTCTGTAGGATCCAAGGACTGATCTGCTGCTCTGACCTGACTCACTGGTGTTGGGTGGTGAGTGGCTTTGTCCCCACAACTCCTTTGTGCTTTGGGCAAAATGTTTATCCCAGAGGACAGAAAGGGCATCTGAAACTGAACAGAAAGACCCTGTGGAAGCACCTGCTGAGCCAGCTGGGAGAGAGCTCTGCTCCTGTGCCTGAAAGAGCCTGCAGTGCTGTCAGCTGCCTTTAGAAACCTCCTTCTTCCTGGCCAGCCCCACGCACAGCCCTGCTGGGTGCTCTGTATTTCGGAGGGGTGCAGAGGACCCTTGCTGGGCACTGCTGTCAGCAGGGTGCTCTGAGTGAGTGCAGTGGGGCAAATCCTTTTGCAGCCTGATGGCACAGACCAAGTCAGAGCCAAACCAGCATCAGTCAGATACTCCACAGCACCGCCCTCCCCTGAAGGGAGACCTTTGTTTGCAAAGGCTGAGCTCCCCATGCCTCTGCCTGTACCCGGGGGAAGCAGGAGGATGCTGGTGCTGGTTTGGCTCTGGGCTGGACAGGCATGCCCACCCCAAACCTGCAATGGATCAGATTTGGGGTTTTGCCCCCAGTGCCAGTGATGCAAAAGGATGGTGGGCTTGCAGGTTACAGCTGCAGCTGTGGTGATGGATGTGTGCTCCCTGGCTGCTCTCAGTGCCTTGGTCTCTCTCCAACCCCCTCCATTTCCCCTTTGAGGAGCTGAAGGGGGACACCTTGGTAGCACACTGAGAACCTGAGAGTTTCCAGTACCGCAGCAGGGAAGGTGAAGCCCCATTGTCTTTCCTTTCCATCAGTTCATCCCTGTGTGTCTCAGCCCCAGCCCTGAGGAGTTATGTTGGGAGGTGATGCTTGGTGCCAGCTCCCCTCCAAGTCTGCAGCTCAGGAGGGCTTGGGGCTGCAAAGATTGTTGGTCCCTTTCCCTGCAGGTGGGAGAGCGGAGGAGGTGACCTGTTCCTGAGTTTGTCGGGATGTGTCCAGGCTTTTGCTGGCTACAGGGGTAGTTCCTTATCTTTCCCAATGAATAATGCCATGGCAGGAGAAACCAGGCAATCCTGGTGTGTGGGATTCTCCCAGGGTCTTTCCGCAGGCTCAGAAAAGCCATCCTTGTGAGGAGGAGGAGGATTGGCTGCTCCATGGTTGGCATCTCCCTTTCCGTGGACCATTTCTTTTCAACATCTTTCAGTATGCTTGTTAGAATATTCTTTTTTAATTTTTTGAATTATTCAAATTTATTTTAGTTTAATACAAATTTATTTTCCCTTTTGAGGAAATATTCATCCGACTTGTTGGCAGCAGTTAGCTGTCTTGTTTGAATCTTTAGTAGTGGGGGTTTTTTGTTGTGGGTTTTTTTTTAATTTGTACTCTAACCGCTTATTATTTATGCCTCTCTTTCTCCCCATCTCAGTTCAGCATCTTCTGTTCCAGTTCAGGGATTCAGAAGGTCAGCATAGCTGACCACATGGCGTTTAGTCCCTCCCAGCTGTGATGGAGCTTGGTCCATCACTGTTTGCTGTTTGTTTGTTTTGTTTTGAATGGCACACTGTAGCAAATCTCCAGGAATTGAATTCCTTCTCAAATGATTTTATATATTTTATAAAATGCTGTTAGTATGCACTGAGAGTGAACGCACTGTAACGTCCCTGAGCTGACCCTGGCACTATGGCAGGAGCGAACAGCTCATCCTTGAAAAGCCGCGCGCAACCTGCCACGGCTCTGCGCCTCCAGCGACCAGCCTGTGTTTTCCGATACTATTGGCACACTTCTGGCTGCAAATGGTAGAACCAGGCCTTACTTTCTGAATTCGATTCGGTTCTGTTTGTCAACAGATGCTCATTAATGTGCTACTTAATTTTGTTAATGTGAGTCAGTCGAGGACTGTTCATCCTTTGAGTACTCTATAAGTATATTAAACCTGTATACAGTAGAGAGCATTCTGCTTAGGTATTTATAAACCATTGCGTATAATGTACATAGTAAGGTTGTTTAGTATGTTGAACATGACCTGATTTTTTTTTTTTTGCTTCCTTTGAAGTACTCAAAGGGCTAGCTCTGAATGTCACCTCTCTGATCTCCAGTGTTCTGACTTCAACAAGCTGTACAATCATTTTGTTTTCTCTTCAGCAAGCATAAAGGTCTCTCTGGCTACAAATCACCGTGTCCACACATGCTTGCAGAGAAAGATCTGCATGCTGGCAGTGCCTCACCGCACCGGTGAAGCTTGTGTTCACGTTCTTCTGGCAGTAGCCACCTACTGCAGCTGCCTTTTTCTTTTTCTCTTGCTGCCCATTATGCGGGGCTTCAATTTTTCGTACCTTTAAAAAAAAAGAAAAAAAGAAAAAAAAGTGTATTTTCTTTGCCCACCATGCTTTAAAAGTCTGAATGGGAGAAAACTCTCAGCAGACAGCAGCTCCTGGCTGCAACGTTGCCGAAATCTCAGATGTGGATGTTTTTTCTGCCATTGGCTGCACCAGTGCTCCGTGGGCATGGGCAAATACTGGATCCATTCGCCCCACAGGTCTACGTACTGTAGTTCTCATGTAGTGCAGAAATATCGAGGCATGTGGCTTTCTTAAGGTACACTATGTGTGCTTGCCTGGATACAATACAATATGAGACTGTCTTTTTTATTGCTTACTACTAGCTTACCAATAACCTGTATAAGTAATGTAACTCGCATCTTTGTCATCAAAACCTTTTCTCCCCGCCCCTTTATTTATCAAGCATAATATTACATATTAAGGGACAGAAAAATAGACCTTTGTAGTATACAGCAGGACGTTGCTAACAATGTTTTAAATGGGAAGTAAAAACTGCTCCTAAAAAGTGCCAGCCGTGAGAAATTACTTTGGCACTGAGTTCATGCGCATGTCTTTTTTTTTTCTATTTTTTACGCTTTTGTCACATTACATCCATATCTGTATTTATATCTTATTTGTTTCACTTTTGAGTGTATCATGACAATTGTACAGATGTTTTTTGTTAACATTTACGTGATAGAATTTGCTAAAAAAAAATAATTAAAATAAAACCTTTTGAGTTTGCCCTATAATACATGGAAGTTGGGTTTCTCTTTGGGGGAGATATATTAAGGTAGATTCATTATCCAACACAGCTCCTCACTCCAGCAGCCTTTGCTTGTAAAGGATTTGCTCTTATTCCTGCCCTGGCTGCCGTGTTCTCATGTATTAATTTGGGGGTGCGTGGGGGGCTGACTGTTTTCTACAGGCACCAGTCTGTAAGTGTCAGTGGAGCCAGTGGGCAGCTCATCTTTTGCTGTCAGCTTTTAAAAGCTCTTGAGAAGTCATGATTTTAGTGGATCTTTGTGGTGTTACAAACTGGAGAGCCATATGCTGTCTGAAAGCTGACAGTCTCGTGCAAAGTCATGTAACTCGAGGATCAAGGGCTTCGAAAGATGCCTGTGTTACGAGGCTCGTTAAGAGAATTGCAGAGGGGTTAAAATATGCAGCAGTAGAAATTTGGGTGATGGAAGTGTTTGGGGAGGTGAAGGGGTACTGGGAACTGCACAGGTCTCTGTGCCTGGTACCAAAAGAAAAATAACTTGAATTTGGAGTGGTTGGGGAGCCTGAGCACTCAGGTGCTTGTGTGTTATCCTGGGGGAATAATGGCTCATTGCAGTTCAAAAACCTGTAGTGAAGCTGTGTTCTACACTAGGGAAATGGATCCCCAAAGGTATGACTTTTACCTTGACAGTGTTCCTTTAGTATCAAGTTAAAGACTCCTCAAATATCTTGTGGTAGGCACAAGGGAGTCAGGAGAGCATGGGAGGTTCAGATTTCATATGGGAGGCTTTTGGTGTGAATGTTCCCAGACAGGGGAGTACATAGAGAGTGTTAGTGTCCGTGAGCACTGGCATTCAGGGCCTGGTGGTTCTTGGCTGTGCTGGATCATCATAGAATCATAGAATGGTTTGGGTTGGAAAGGACCTTAAAGATCATCGAGTTCCACCCCCCCTGCCATGGGCAGGGACACCTTCCACTAGCCCAGGTTGCTCAAAGCCTCATCCAGCCTGGCCTTGAACACCTCCAGGGATGGGGCACCCACAGCTTCCCTGGGCAGCCTGTTCCAGTGCCTCACCACCCTCACAGTGAAAAATTTCTTCCTAAGACCTAATCTAAATCTCCCCTCTCTCAACTTAAACCCATTACCCCTTTTCCTGTCACTCCTCTCCTGGATCAAGAGTGCCTCCCCATCTCTCCTGTAGCCCTCTTTAAGTTCTAGGAGGCTGCTCCAAGGTCTCCACAGAGACTTCACTGGTC